TTGTAATGTACTCATGCATGAAATTTGAAAGTAGTGGACGCCCTAAACACTTTATGGACCTAATTAAAAGGTAGTGACCAATAGTGCCATGGAAATTGAATATCCCTTTCCCAGGCCATCTCTACAGGAGTAAAGATGCCTGTTCTGACTTCACAGCCAGCCCAGATGTGAATCTTGAAAAGCTGCTAGGCCAGAGAGATTATGTGACACTGGGGAACCTTGATTCTATGAGTCCAACTTAATCTTAGGGTGGGTGGGTAGATTCAACCTTGTCAAAAGGGCAGGCTTTCAGAGACACAAGACAGCCACATCCATAGCCTCTTGGGTCCACAACGGCAGGGCCAGGTCCGAGCAGCTACTGCAAAGTGGCATGAAGAATGAGAGGGAGGTCCCGCGGAGGCGGGCGGTGGTGGTGCACGCCTTTAATCCTAGCACTCGGGAGGCAGAGGCAGGCGGATCTCTGTGAGTTCGAGGCCAGCCTGGTCTACAAGAGCTAGTTCCGGGACAGGCACCAAAGCTACAGAGAAACCCTGTCTTGAAAAACAAAAGAACAAAAACAAAAAANAAAAAAAAAAAAAAAAAAAAAAAAAAAAAAAAAACAAGAATCCCTAGATAGTATGAGAGGGAGGTCCCACGGATGCTGGTATCTCAGCAAGCATCCCTAGGTATTGACCTTAAGACGGTATTGCTAAGTGACAAAGCACACTGAAGGACAGGGCTCCCATAATGCTCCCCACTGTGAAAGAAGCAGGCTGTAAATGCACATGTATCACTTGTATTTCCCAAAAGGAAACCACGTAGTGACCTACTTCCCAGCATGGTGACTGTGCCAAAAATGGCACGTTGCACATTACAAAATACTTAAAACAGAGAATTTGAGAGGTTCTCACCACAAATAAATCACAAGATTGAGCTGGTTGTGATGGCAAATGCCTTAATCCTAGCACTCAGAGACAGAGGCAGACAGATCTCTTTGAATTCAAGACCAGCCTGGTTGACATAGTAATAAGCTCCAGGACAGCCAGGGATATACAGACTCTGCCAAAAGAAAAAGAGGGGGAGGAAGAAAAAAATGATAAATATTGGAGAAGATGGCCATGTGATGTGTGTAGCTTGACGTGATCATTGCACAGTGATCACGGGGATCAAAGTATCACATTGTTCCTCATAAAGATATACGATTATTATTTATCAGTTACAAATAAAACTTCAGAATATGAAAGTCAGCGAGTTAAAACTGTTGGCAGTGGTTAGCTTTATGGAAGAAGGAGAGCAGAACACAGAGCATGAGGGTGCAAATGTGTTTTCTAAGCCCTGTTCTGTGACATCAGAATCATATGAATCCTTTCCATAATTATTCAAAGAAAAGAGTCAGGGCTGGGACATAGTTCAGTATTTGATCCCCAGTGCAGCAACAAACCAGACAAACGCAAGCACCAATTATTGAATTGAAAAAGAAAAGCAAGAAATTTAACAAGTCAAGTTGTTGAAGAATCACATTTAGGAAAAAAACACAAAACAAAACAAGCGACCTCACAGCAATTTATTGGCTGTGTATCCCTCGCAGGATAAAGGGTAGACAGTATAGAGTCTTTGGTTAGATTGCTGTTAACATGACCTGCATCATTTTTGAACTATTGCTATTGAATATGACAAAAAGCTATCTTATCCAGTATTAGCAATTATGAAACTCCACCAGTGACCCTCCGGGCTGGCTAAGCTCCAGACCTTTGGTCAACGTGAGCAAGATCCCAGCTTCCCCATTAGGGCAACTCCAGTTCCTGGATCACAGTGACCTCAACCAAGCATATGTAAGTTTAAAATAAAAATACAGGGTCAACGGTCCTAATTTCTGTACCCGTGTAGTATCAGTGTGAGGCTTGTGCCATGACCAGTGTCCCTTGAGTTCAACCCCATCACTCCTGCCCCATGTTGGCAGGCTAGTCACTGTTCTTTCTACAAAGGAAATTTTCTATCTATCCTTTTCTTCAACCCTATTTCAAAAGTTCTTTTTTTAAAAAAAAAAAAGCTAAGAGCACTGAGGCTCATGAAGTTAAGTTGTTTGTCAAGGCCCCTCATCTAATAGATAGTGTAGTTTGAACAAAAGTTCACTGGTAAATAAGAGACCAAATCCACTCTTAGTCATGCAACCCTTAATTCATTAAAAAAAAATACTGATGCTATAAGGGAGTATATTAGTACCAGAAATATATATAAATAATGGAGAACATAGACGCTGATCTCTAAACATAACCCAGTTTTCTCTGCTGGTTAGAATGGGAATATTATCTGTCTCTGCTCTGGAGAATGGAATACAATGTTACACAGTTTTTAATTATACGCGCCTAGAGCATAAGCATAAGGCCTAACACTCGCTATGGGTGTGTGTGCTCAGTCCACATAAGTGTTAAATATATGTATGCATATATATACAGATATATCTATATGTGCATATACATATGTATATATAAATATATGTGTGCAATTGGTTGCACTATTTGCACTGACGAGCTAGACAAATCTGCAGGACACCTACGGTAGTTCTGGAGTCCCACTAACCTAGAGCCCCAGAAAAAAAATTATTAAAATAAAGCTAGGAGAACTTTTTAAGTCAGGCCAGGGGCTGTCCCGTATGCTAACCTTGGTTCACTTTTCCCAAAGTGTACAATCAGGCAAAGGTCATGAGCCCTCTGTGGGTTCCAGGTTAATACAAGATAGCACTATGAGTTTTCTCAGAGGGCAGTAGGTCTATCTCGGGATTCAGAGAGGACGAATTAATAAACTTGTGGGCTGTGCAGGTAGACTGACTGGGTCTGACTCCCAGCCTGCTCTTTGCTGGCTATTGATCTCGGCAGGATGTTTACTTCAGCTGCTTCACGTGAAAAATAAGCAAATAATAATACTGCCCCCACAAGGCTGTTGTAAGTTAAGGAAGGAGATTGTTTAAGGCTTAAAGCAGAACCTAAGGCAGGGAAACACTTAGCAATGGTCCCTAGGCCAGGTTTCTCCCTGGCTGAAGGGTGCTTATGTCTAGAATGTCCTGAGCATTCAAAGTTAGGCTGGTTGGAGGTATGTGCTGGTCCCTAGGCCTGGGTGCGTACAAATCCCCTTCTGCAGGGCTCTTCTCCAAGAGTCCAGCTGTGTGCATCTGGCTGGAGAGATTAAATTATTTTTGAATTCCTAACCGAATGTTCTTTTAATGGAAACTTAATGACAGACATTGAAATAGATTTCCTCCCAAACCCCTCCTCCCGCGTGCCCCCCACATGACTCGGGGTTGCGCAGTTCCCGATAACCTTTTTTCCCTAGCCCTGGACTTTTATCTCCCCAGTGACATGCAGCCCTTGCTGGACAGAAAGAGGAAATTCCAGTCATTGTTCTTAAACTTCTGGCTTCCAAAATAAAATGCTCTATCTCCCCTGTCAAGCTTTGATTGACACGCACTTCCTGTGATGGCAGACAGCAACGGCCCAGGGGCGGGGCCTAGGGTTCATTTGCATTCTTGCCTTTAGATGTTTCCCTATTGTTTGTTCTAGAAAAGGAATGAGTCTCCATACCAGTCACAGAAGCACTGTTGAAGACTCATTTCTGGGTTTAAGAAAAACCTCCATAAAGGATGAAGCCTAAGCCTTCCAGCCATGAACCCAGGAGATTTATCCCTAATACGTTTAGTGGTGGAAATGGACATTCTAATACTCTCACTATGACTGGGAGAGAACCTTTTCTTTCTGCCCTTTAGCCTCCCAAATATTCACCCTAAATATTGACTAGGAATGTTCAAATGGGATCCAGTTCTCCTTGTCAGTATCTCTACAGTAACAGAGATCAATTGTGCAAGCCCAAAGGGATCAGCACCAAGGACAAGTTTGACTATAGCAGTGTGCCATAGGTTGCAGTTTTTCTTTAAGAAATATAGAACCTCTTTGGAAATGGCTGGAGAACAGTAAATACAGTAAGGCAGCTTGCTGAGAAGCAATAGCAGTTCTGATGTGGTCAGGTAGGGCCTATTGGGAAAAGGGTTTCTGGGCTGAACAAAAAGCTGACCTTTCATCCTGGCATTTGCCTGCAACCCAGTTGGTCTTCCAATGCCGTCTGCTTCCCCTTCGTTTTCTTTCTTGACTGATCTTTGTCCCCTTGTTACCACCCTGTCTCCAGTGCCTAAGGCTCTTCATTCTGGTTTTGAGCCCCAAGCACTCCCGGGGACTCTCAAGAGTTGCCACCCCGATCCCCACTTCCTACAAGCTTTGTGCAATGTGTATAATGGGTCTAGCGAATTTGTATTAAAATGAGGAGACTCCAAGTGCAGGGTTCCTGAGTTCTGATAGAGGAATGTTTAGAAGTAAACCAGAAACATGCCAATCAGATGTAGCCAAACCCACTGCCAGGAAGCAGAGAGAGCAGAGCAGTGTATTCTGAGTGTATGGCCTTAATGAATGCCATCTCTGCTGGTTTATAAGGAGCTGCAGAGTGGTACGGTCTCTGTCTGTGTATGGGCCAGCAGAGAATTCCAGCTCCCTTGGGCTTGTGATAGTTGATTTCTTCTAGCTTGGTCAGCAAATTATGTCATGGATTCAAAGATTTACAAGCACAGAGTAACCGTCCGTGTGGGCCAGATGTGTTCCCCATTGCGGCCACTGACAAGGTGTGCACCTTAACCCCATCTGTTCCCAGTGGTCAGGACCATGGCAAGTGTGAGTGTGTATAGACCTGTACAAACTCAACCCCTAACTGAGAAAAGCAGAGCTATCCCTACCCAGCGTTTGTAGCTGTCTTTCTCTGCACTGAGATTCATGCTGGAGAGATGTGCTGTTGCTGGACCAGCAGGGGCGTGTCTGCAGCCCAGCTCATTTCCTCCTCGGAAGTCTAGACGACAAGACAAACGTTCGTTCGCAGTTTGCCACCTTCCTGCCGGTCCCACCCCTCTCCAAGAGAAAGTCTACCTTGGCAAGAATATTTTTCTCAGTCATCCTGTCAGTTAACGCATAGGTGACGCTTTTTGCTCACGCAGTTTCAGAAATTTATTAATCACATACTGAAAATATTCTGACTTTTGGACAGCTTCCAATTCCACATTCTTTTTCAAGGTGCATTCAGAATAACACAGGTAGGGAAGTGAACAAGCAGACATTCACATCGTTCGAAGTAAGTGCTCCTGCAAAACCTTTCCCTTTGGAAGACGTAGGGATGGCCCTCATGGGCAGAGGACCGGCAGCACCCTGACTGTGGGGACTGGCTCATTCCCTCCTTCTCCTCCTTCGTACCGAGAATTTCAGTTCAAGCACTAAACAGAGAAATGCAGAACTATCCATCCAGTGTTAGCATTGCACCCGCTTCCAAGCTGACTGCTTTCACAGTTGGTATCATCTTGTAAGAGCTAGGAATAAAAACTCTTTTAATAGACCTGTAGCCCCATAACCCATTAAATATTATAAGAAATACCACCACAGATCTCTCTCTGTGTGTATGTGTGTGTGTGTGTAGATTAGTAGATCAGAAGTTGGCATAAGATATCTTCCTCATTCTCCACCTTATTTTTTTGAATTGTATGTGTATGGTGTTTTGCTTGCATGTGTGTCTGTACACCTGGTGTCTATGGAAGTCAGAAAAGAATCAGATGCCCGAAAACTGGATTTATAGACGATTGTGAAGCACCATGTTGGTGCCAGAAATCAAACCTGGATTCTCTGGAAGAGCAACCACAGTATTTTTCACCACCTTCTCTCCAGCCCCTTCAAATTCTTTTTTTAAGCAGTCTCACTGAAACTGGACCTCACCCATTAGCTGGCCAGCAAGCCTCAGGCATCCTCCTACATCGGCTAGGGTTACTGCTACTAAGTCAGGCCTTCTGTGTGCTTGCCGGAGGTCCAAACCCAGATCCTCATGCTTGCACAGCAAGCTCTTTACAAACTGAGCCTTCTCTCCAGTCTCATCAGGAGCACTTTCAATCAGACACTCTCCTTTGCAGGAGGTTGTTCATTTAGCGTCTAGAGAATGGACGTGGCCTCTGTTTCATGGACCATGGGAGATCATTCAGGCCAAATTCTAGATGGACCACAGCATCTGGGTAAGCCACAAAGCTTGCCAGGGACTTTTTGCTCCTCTTTGCCTTGGGCTCAGAGAGGTGCAGAGTCACTGGATGATACTTTACGCCTTCGGAAACACGTGACCCAGACTCAGATGAAGGCTTCAAACACAGGCACTTGAGAAGGTTAGTCATTAGTCTTAGAAGCCTTAGTCATTCTTTGTATGACTGTCTCTTATTGTCAGTGATTGGTTGACTCACTTCCCCCAACTCAGGGGACAGATTTTCCGTTGATAAAAGTCTATTTTAAGATGAAAGTGGCATCTTTCTCATCCATAGAATCAAGTGGGAAATATGGCTAGTTCTCGAAGCTATAGAGAGCTCCTAACATCTTCCAGGAGTCTTCTACAAGAATCCGCATTGTCTGTCCGTGCGACCTTGGGTGACTTTGTTCCCATCAACACTGGATGAGCACACTCAGTCATAGGAAAGACGCCAAATGAGTTCCTACGGCTTCCATATGCCAGCTTAAGTCACATTTGTCCATCAAGTGCTCTCTACTGCAGCTTTTAGAGCTATGAGTCTTGGAGTCATAGCCATGGGGCTCAGGGGTGACCACGCTGGTAGACCTGGCAGTTTCTCACCCTGCTTTCACACCCCCAACTGCTGGTCGCTCCAGAACACAGCCAGCCCCTAGGTTCACAGAAGGTTTTCTGCAGGTGAAAAAGCCACCGCTACATCTGGGTGTCATCTGTCTCGTCAACTTCAGACAGGACAAAGTTAGGGTTGTCGTAGCCCCTCTTCATCCTGGCTCTGGCGTCTTTCTCGTTGTAAAGGCACATGGCACAGTGGGGGGTTTCCACCTCCACCGTCTTACCAAAGTTATGGAAGTCCACTCGGTACTTCCCTTCCTTGGTCTTGGATACTATGGGGACAAAGCGGTAGCCCCAGAGCACTTCCTCTGGCACGTAGGATGTGCGGACCTGGCAGGTTGCGCTGGTGGATTCCACTGTACCATCTAAAAAGACGACTAATTCAAAGTCCTGCTGGGGAAGCGTTTCTGCCGCCATGTGGAAGAAAGGACTGTGGTGGTCAATGACGTGGTAGATTGTCAGCGGGGAGATGAAGAACAAGTTCTCGTTGCCGGTATCGACAATAAAGTTGATATTGGTCTGATCCAAAATAATGGTCTCTCCTTCAGGAGTGATGGTGGTCTTCAGGAGCTTGCCATATATGTGACCGCCAATCAGAAGGCTCTTCCTAAGGTTAGCCACTCGGATGAGGAGGCAGAGCTTCCCACCACGCTTGCTGATCACCGCAGTCTTGCTGAAGGTGATGGTCTTCGCACGTTTTTTGGGTCTAGAGATCTTGGCTAAGATGGCGCCGCACATGAAAGAATTGATGATCACTCCGAGAATGGACTGGAAGATGAGCAGGAAAATGGCAGTGGCACACTGCTCCGTCACAAACCTGAATCCATAGCCTATGGTCACCTGAGTCTCCAGCGAAAACAGAAAGGCTGCGGTCATACCGTTAACGTTCTCCACACAAGGAGTGCGATTGTCGGGTGGGTAGAACTCTGGGAGGTCCTTGTGAACATAGGCTACCACATACCACAGGAGACCGAAAAGGAACCAACTCCCCAGGAAGGCTGTGATGAACACGGTCATTTTGTACCTCCATTTGAGGTCAAGCACGGTTGTCCAGATGTCCACAAAGAATATAAACCTTGACTGCACGTCTACATTGCCAAACTCTATGTTACACCTTCCGTCCTTGGAGACCAGCCTTGCTCGTTGCCGTGAACGCCCGAAGATGTGAGTGACAAACCATTTCCGAAGATGTTTGAACATCCTCTCTGTCAGGGCCCTGATCTGAAAACACATCAAAGGGAGCAGGTAAGATCACAGTTGGAGCAGCGGTGATGTGGGTGACTCACATACACACTCAGCCACCTCTGAGAAGAGCATTCAAATCATCAGGCTGGTTACTCATTTGCACACACCAACTACTTTGTTCTGGGTGCCAGCGTAAATCTTACATGGCTGCTACGTTACATAAGTGGAGAAGACACCAAGTGGAGAGTTACTAATAGCTAAAATGTTCAGGCATTTGCTGACCTCAGGGATTTAAAAATGGGGTCACTGGCGGGGCGATGGCAGCACACGTATTTAATTCTAGAACTTGGGAGGTAGAGGCAGGCAGATCTCTGTGAGTTCAAGGCTAGCCTGAACTACAAAGCAAGTTCCAGAACAACTAGGACTGTTACACAGAAAAACCCTGACTCAAAAAAAGAGGTGACCCATTCTAATCTGCACTTTTGCTTATTGGATATTATGCAAATCATCTCCTCTGCGTTAAAATGTAACCTATTGCTATATAATAATTTTTGTGAAATCATAAGGCTAGGGCACTATTTGTATTTTTGTGATATATGAAATAATTAACTGAAAAAAAGGGAAATTCATCAATAGATCCACTAAATTGTCTTGTCTGCTCTACCAATACATCAAGAGACATCCTGAGCCATTTTAGTTCCTTTGTTTATTAAATGAAGTCTTAGAATACCTCTAAGACTGGAAAATACTAGATGACTTCGCCCAAGTCATACCCTCACCCATGCCCACCAACTCAGTGCCAGTCATATTTCGGCTCACTTATCAAATACTCTAGCCTGAAGCTGTGCTCCCCTAGAACACTTGAAGACAGGACTCCTTAGCAGAGCTCACAGCCGAGCAGGTGATCTCGCAGCCTCTGTCTGAGGACGCACATGCCTGTCCTTGCTTTCTCACGTGTTCTGCCAAGACTTTCAACAAAAATAGAATGAGATTGGCCATTGGTATTCCACACTCCCCTCAGCTGGACTCCACGCTGATGAACACTGACTTCACCTGACTTCACATATGTTCTGTGAAGGTAGAACCATGTTTAACTCATTCCTAGATCTCACCTGCTAGTTCAGACTGAGTGTTTACCACTCTCTCCATCAGCGTGAGTGGAGTGATACAAGAACTGGATGGGGCACTTCAGTGTGTGTGAGAGAGAAAGAAAGAAAGAAAGAAAGAAAGAAAGAAAGAAAGAAAGAAAGGAAGGAAGGAAGGAAGGAAGGAAGGAAGGAAGGAAGGAAGGAAGGAAGGAAGGAAGAAAGAAAGGAAGAAAGAGGGGGAATGGGGGAAGGACATAGGAAGGGAAGGAGGGAAGGAAGGAGAGGGAGAGAGAAAAAAAGAGAAAAAGAGAGAGAGGTTTCCAGCAAAACAGTGTTGGGGCTTTCCCCTAAACAGTCAACAGCAGTAAAACTCAAGGGTCTTAAGCCTAGAATACCTCTTCCTCTTCCCCCACCCCAAAAAAATCAAGGTGTGCCCATTGTGGTTAACACAGTCTTTGTGGTATTTTTTTATTAAATGCAAAGATATTTTTAAAAATAGATCTCAAAATCCCCCTTGAAAAATGTGTTTGCTCGTAAGAACTAGGAAGCGAAACCAGCTCGGTGACACATTTTAAACAAAAGCAATATTCCTCAGTGTCTTGTTCCTGGCCTTAACTCAGGTGAAAAGAAAAGGGGCTGGACCAAGCAGAAGCAGTGAGAAGCAGTGCACAGACATAGCAGAGGGTTGGAATGAAAAGGCCAGGCTCCAAAAATAAGAACATGAAATAGACACCAAGAGAGTTGCATAAGCTCTTCACACCCAGAGAGCTCTGTCCATCCCTCACAGACCTCAAGTCCCCAAAAGTCACAGGAGAGGATGGCCCCAGGCAGGGCACACACAGGGCAAAGGCTACTTCCCTGGTTCCTTCCTCCTATTGCTCAAGCACCTAGGTGTAGCCTGGTCCACACTTTCAAGTGGCAGATGCTCCTGCTGGGGTTCCTGGAAGCTCACACTTCCTTACAGGTTGGCTCCCACCAGTTCTAAGACCGGCATTACCCACGGAACCCACACACCCTTCGCCACACGTTACAATTCAAGATGACTTCTCAAACACCAAACTCCAAGTTTTTCATTCCCTCCACCATTCTCCAATCTTTCTAAAATTTGTTTCACTTTGAAGGTGAAGAATATTTCTGTAAAGTGAAGTCACATCCCCAATTAAGTTTGGGTTTTCCACGACTGTGCCAGCAAAATATGACATTCACTTCCTGGCCTTCCAAGCGGTAGAACAGGAGCAGCCAGCAGCCCACAGAGCTTTCCCCAGGCTGTCCGCACTTACCAGCACTCTGGACACATTCCGTTCTGCAGCCTCCATCGTGGGAAAAGCAAGCAAGTGGTGTTATTGGGAATTGTCTGTAGGAAGACTGACTTCTTTTAGAGCCAGACAAATGAACCATACGCTTCTGAATGATGCTTTACTTGGATTAGTTTTCAGCAGCTAACAAGTGGAGTCATGTGGTTTAAACTAACACAAATGATTGTACTCAGACCAAGCCTGGAGTTGGGTATATATAGATATATTTTTTTCAAGCCTCACATGGCTTGAATACCGTCATGCTAAGACATGACAAACCACCAGCTGAGGTCCTGGGCAGCTAATGTGGATTGGATCCCAGCATGGCCCCCCTCTCTTTTGCCACGGTCTATAGCCCTCTTGCCGTTCTCCTAAGTCGTGCCAAATAACTTTTGGCTAGAAACAATTAGTTATCATCAATCTCCCAGTCAATTTTCTGAAACATAATGAATACTAACCTTTCCGAGTGGTCAGAGATACAGGTGGATGGAGAGACATAGATGGGGACATGTTTGCAAGACAAGAGTAAGCTCATACCAGGAAGGAACAAGATACCACATTAATCTCCCAGTACAATAGCCACTGTTATGTAAGACACTGAGATACTATTGTGGGGTTTCATCTGGGAAAACTGGGCTTTACTGGAGGCGCGCTTTACACGTACTGGATTAGCATATGGTGTTGATCTGTTTGATGAAAGAGTAAGGAGAACTAAGAAAGCAAGTAAATCCATCCACTCACCAAACCCATCAGCCACACGGCGGATCTGCTGTCATTCAGATCCCACGCTGCCAGGACCGTGTCATTTAATCTAACCACAGACAGAGCCAATGTGCATTTATGAATGACTGGGCAATTAGAGATTATCGCCAGGGTCTTAGGTTATATAATGTGTCCCAACTTTTCGGTTCCTTTCTATTGAAATCAGTAAATCTTAATAGCAAGCAAAGGGCTGCACATTAGCTAATGTTTACCCACGTATCCTTGGTGGCTGGAAAAACAAGTGGGTTGCATTATTGCCACTTGCTCTTTATGTCCCAGCCTTCTTGTTCCGTAAATAGGACATTTGCAGAAAGCGAGACTTTCCCAGACACTTGCTGCTCATTGGCTGTCTGCGTAGTCCTTAGGATCTGAAAGATAAACAGAACTCTTCCTGTTCTCAAGGGGCTCACAGTCAGATGAGAAGGTGAGCTGACTATGTCGGAACTCAGTGTGGTTTATGTAACCCCGTAAGTACAACTTTTCTATAAGATTTCCTATTAACTATGGATCTATCCTCTGAGGTTGTGTTTTGAGCAACTGCAAATGCCTTTCTGTATATATTAAACATATTCATCTATCATTAGTCCATAGGGATATGCTGACACTACTGTGTGTACCAGTCACTGTGTTAGACAATCATGGCTGATTGTCCTTGTCAACATGCATCTCCCAGGGGGCCCAAGGGAGAGGAACAGATGAGTGCAAACAGACCTAGAGGACTGTCGCTATGATAGGAAACAGCAGGTACCCTCCAGGGAGCGGCTATTGAGAACAGAAGCCAAGCCCTAAAGATGTGGTCTAGTCACAGGTAGCAAGGGCTTCATAAAGAGTTTCTGAGTTATGATAAATAAACAGGTGGATGTGTTTGTAAATGGTAAGAACTGACGGTTTCCCTTACTGCTCAGTAGCCATCACCTCCCCCACCCAGAAGAGCTACTTTGCAAGAAGTCCTGTAACAATGTAATAGTGAGACGTGTAACTGTGGCCACCCTGCATTTAACTGTGTGTGTTTGTGTGTGTGTGTCCCAGGCAAGAGCAGCAGAAGAAAAACAAGTGCATTGAAAGAAGAAAGAAGACCCAAAATAACACACAGGAGGGAGTGCTAATGGAAGCTGGTGCAGCCTGGGGCTGCAAAGTCAGGCAGGGCCAAACCACTCAGAACTGCCACAGACCCACAGGATAAGCTGGATCTGAAATTAACGCCCATCCTATCAGAGCTACAGAGACAATTCGTACTTGTAAGTCAGCCTGAGACACCTCTGCATAAAGGTCCTTAAAAGCAAAGGTATCTTCCTCCAGAGTCGGCTTGTTGCTCTAAAAACACACGCTTCATTTGCATGCAGATTTACTCCAGCAAAGCTAGCTCTTCCTGCTAATAAGAACTGACATGCAGAGGTTGTTTTGGGGGCTTCTGTCCAAGAATACTTCATGTTGGAGAGGGGGTTTCTCAGGTCACTTATCACTCTGACCTTCCCCCTGCCCTGGCGGCTCAGTGACCACTGTATATAAGAGATGGGGGTCAATGCTTGCATCCCAAGTTCAAATTACAGGGGCTGTTGTGCCTTTCAACTCAACTCTTTATGGATCCTATGCAAACTCAGCTAACATTAGGATATTTCTGGAGTCAATTGTTAGAGTAGGAAATGTGGACCAGGTGGTCTAAAATCAGGTGCATATGATTATCTCTAGTCCCTTGGTAATTCTGATACAAAAGAACTTCACGTTTCTCCAGAATTGGTCTGCCTCAGACCAAGAATCAGTTGAAGTCAACAAACATCTCTGGGTCATCCACAGTCATGCATTCCTGGGACTCTGGGCGTCCTCTCTGCTGCCTTAATAGACTTGGGCACATGCCCTGCTCATTGACCACCTAAGTACCTGCTGCCATGATAGGAGCAAAGAAGGAATGGCCCTTACTTTGCAACCACTCCCGGAGAAGTCACTTAGTAATTATCATGCACCAAACTAAAATGGTACCCATGGGCTGTGTGGAGATGACCACTTGAGCCCATCTTTGCTGAAAAGTCAAAAAAAATGCAATTGCTTCTGTAGAGGGCTTCCTCTTTTCTGTGGAAATCATCTCAGGATGGCTGAGAACAGCCTCCCTGTTGGATCTAAAACTCTGCAGAGCCCTTGGAGCCTCAAATCTCCTGACTTTCTGGGCTGCCTCTCATCTGTCTGGGACCCACAAAATGGCAGACCTTTGGTTGGGCATGTCAGAACTTGCCTCTAATGTCCTTGGCATAACTGAGCATCTGGTTCATTTCAGGTAGAACTCAGAGTGGTCAGTTGGACTCAGTTCTTCCCAACCTTACATCCTAGGTATATGCCCCCATGCCTTTGCCAGGCTGGGTAATGCATGGGAAAATACGTCACTGTTGGGGAGAAAGTGTGCCTCATGACTTCTCCCACAGGAAATCAGAGTAGCCTATCGGGGGTGTGAATGCAACATTGGCCTTTGAGGGTCCTTCTCTCCTTCCAGAAGGAAGCTCGAGAACAAGCTAGAGGGACCACATAGTCTGGGGCACCTCACAGGCACACGGTGCTGAGGGTATATCTGGGACTCCTAGTTGCAGCCCCATTATCTGAATGAGTTAGTGTGTTTTGCATGGGAAGTTATAGGAAGATAGGAGACATGGGCCAAGAGTGTTCCCAGAACAGGAAACGACCAGAAGCAGCTTGACGTAGTAGAAGTGTTCTAACTTGTGTCCACAGGCCTGAACTTGAACTCCAGCTGTGCCCTTTAGTGACCAGGTGAGCTGAGCAAGTCACCCTGCTTTCCTGAACTATCTCCTCATCTGTGAGATAACTCGAATGCTATCCCACCAAATATCGGATAGCAGAATATACAATGTCCCGAGAGCATATGACAGACAGGGGCAATATTTATTGATGGTTCCCAAACTGAAACCAGCACAGCAGTTTAGCCAAATGTCACCAGCTCTTACCACCATGGACTACCACATAGTCAACCTGTAACTGCACCAGAGGAGAAAAGGCTCCTTAAAGGGGAGGAAAATATTCTGGCCATACGTGACATCTATGATTGATGCTGGTTTCAGAAAACCTGCTTCCTGATAGGAGTGGGCAGCCTAGGAAAAGCAAAGATGATTCATGAAGGATTGATCAATAAAAAAGGCAGAGCCTTTTCTTAGAAAGGCCTCGTACCTAGGCACAATGCGGTTGCCATACCAACTAGCATGTGACCAGCATCACTGCTATTTACACTTGTTCCCTGAAAGGGCAGTCTCTTCCCTGATGCCCACAATCAGGTTTTGGTGGGCAGACAGTGTCACAGACATCATTGACAAACACTCTCTGTTCACCCTTTGAGTGCTTGCTTTGCAACCATGAGGACCTGAGTTCAAATCCCCAGCACCCATGTAAAAATGCCAGGCGAGTAACTTAACAACCCGAAGGTTTTAGGGGTGGAGACTGGCAGATCTGTGACCTGGAGCTCAGTGACGAAACTCTGAGCTAATGGTGAAAACTGACACTACGGGTTCCTTGCTTGCAGAAGTCACGTGAGCATGCACCACTCTGCATAGGATTGCTCTGCTATGAAGACATGGAGACTCATGGAAGCTACTAAATAATATGCGGAAGGCCACTGCAATGATTTAAAGTCTGCGCGTTCAGGTTTTAGATGCTGTCTGGCTGACTTGTGGACTCACTGTGCATCCTGAGAGGATCACCAAAGATCTCTGCTTCAGGCCCCAGTGCGAGCTTCGGGAACTCTATTGTTCCTTTGGATGAGCCAGGCTGCGAACAGCCAAAGCCGCACTCAGGGAAGGTGTCCGTGAAGTAGTACCAGTCTTGGTGGCAGCACGTGTTGGCTATGGTAGATGGCCGTGGTGTGGATGCTGGGAACTTCTGTGTGGCTTCCCGGCAGATTTCCTAGTGCAACTGTGTCTTATGGTCCTTTGGAAATGGTGGCACGCACTGCCTTGCAAAGGAGGACTCTTGGTCTCAGCTTTGTCCAGAGTTTTTAAGAGGAGCACTTCCCCGGGGTCTATGAAGATGGCAACAGAGGACAGACCTCCACCCCAGGGGATTAGGGGTCATGAGAAACTGGCAAGGACTTGGTGGAAGCTCCCAGGATTCTGCCTGAAATTTTCTTAGCAATCTCCCCCTCTAGGCCCAGGAGTGCTACGCCTTAAGGAGGAAAAGCTCTGCTTTATTACCTGAGTAGACTGAGCCTGAGTTGACAGGGGAAGAAAGTTAAAAATGAAGACTCTTGTCCCCAAAATGGATGAAGATAATGACCTCCAACACCTCCTCCAGTCTTAAAAAGTGAGACTAAGGGCAGAGTGACAAAAAGAAGGGCCCCAGGAGGCTCCTTTAGCCAGCTGATCACTCCAGGAGACACTATTGCAAGCTGTGTGTACAGCACCCCCTGGAGCACAAGAGAGGCACTGCTTACGGACATCGTGGGGGCCCCGAGCACACACACAACCTGCATCCATCAGTTGCATTTGGATCTCATAACCGTTCTGAGAGCCTGAGAACTGAGGCCCAGAGATGTTATGCAACTCGCTCAAAGTCACAAAGTAGAAAAGCAAGCATAAAGCTTAGAAGATCTTTGTTTTTAAGCTCTATGACATACTCAGAACAGCTGTAAATACCTACAGTAGGCAAACATGATTTCAACACCTGCTCACTGTGTGCGGGAATGGCAGCTTGGCGCACGTTTCTCTGCTTTGTGTGAGGAATAACTCAGATGGTGTGAGCTACTAAGAGGTGAAGAAGGGAGGTCTGATTAGAGGGAAGAGAATGAGGCTTTGGGTCAAGGAAGAGTCTATGCAAAGGCACCACGAGGGGACTAGAAGGGTCTGAGGGTCACTGGTGTCACTAGATGTGCCCTTCAAAGTCCTGGACAGCTCAGAAATGGTCAAAATGCCGGTGGAACGAAGAGGTAACTGTGGATGCAGGTAAAGACTTGACACCATCAACTTCTCTGCTTCATCGGGCAGTGGTGGCACACATCTTAAATCCTCGCACTCGGAAGGGAGAGTTTAAGGCCAGCCTGGTCTATAAGAAAGAGTTCCAGGACAGGCAGGGCTACACAGATAAACTCTTGTCTCTGAAAAAGAAGGAAGGGAGGGAGGGAGGGAGGGAGGGAGGGAGGGAGGAAGAGAAAGAAAACTCTGCTTCCTTCCTTCTACAGGTTATATGGCTTGAGCCAGTATGGGCAATGGCCTGCCGCTGGAGGAACAATGCCCTCCACTTGGAGATGCCACAGATGTCTACAGGCTGTCTGCACCTTCTTCAGGTAACAGTTCATTCTGATAGTGAGGAAGAGACCTAGGACTGCCCCACACAAGGCCACTGTCTGGACAGATAGGACAGCTTCCTTCAGAATTCTGGGTACAATCCTAGGCAGTTAGGGTAGGCCAGACTCTTCCACACTGAGAGAGTCAGAAGGACCCGCTCTGCCTCTCATGAAATTAACTTTGACTCAAGTTTTCAGACTTGGTCTCCGTCCAGGCCTTTCTGAGAGTACTTGCCCTAACAGTAAATTCTGATTCCTAATAAATTTAGGATTGGAAATTAAATTAACACAACGATCCAGAGGCTTTCCTGGTCTAATGGCCTCTGATTCTTACTTCTATTAAGCAGAGAACATCTCCACTGGAGGTGTCTGGGCATATAATCTTCCAGGGAAACCAGTGTATCTTCTCAGCAGGCAGCCTGGGGCAGAGACTGTGAAGCAGTCATATTACACGCACAGGAGGATATTAGATATTTAAAGGAATTCTAGAGTGGATTATTTTATAAAGTGAGGAACAATTTTTTGCAAATCAAATAATCACCGAGCACTCATGTATCTCGTAACAGTGTGTGTTTGGGTGGAGGCAGCGAGGCTGGAAAAGGGACACATCGGTAATGACACGATTCTTAAATTTCACATGTCAAGCCACCCACCTCAAATGGCAGAGCAATTTCATGAAAGAATTTAAATGTTTATAAAACTCCTATTTATTATGTGCTCGCAAACCCTGTTATTAGCCTGACCCTTCTAACTCTCTGTGGTTTGGGTTGCTATTCCATCAGCTCACTCCTTTCAGCCCAGAAATAAATGAATTCCATATGAATGAGAGCCCCAAACGCTGTCTGCAACAAGACTGGAAGCTCTGCTTTAGAGAAAAGATAGAGAATTTCCAGCCTTGACGTTAGTTACTGAGAAGGATAACGGTCCACTGAAACCTGGGGAGGAAGAACATGGAAACCTATGTTTCCATAGGCCCTGCATCCACAGGCAATGGCTGTCTCAGCTCAGCTTGATACACAGATAAAGCTGGGAGCCTTCAGTGTCAGCCTTTGTGTTTGGAGAGGAATGTAGAATGCCTTCTGCTCCCATAGTCTAACTAACGTTGTGTATTTTCCTGTTCCAGTCCCATCAAATCACCAGGGTAGAATGTGACAAGTGGGTTTGAGGATTTCAATCAAAAGGTAGTCATTGATTTGCTTATACTGCGTGCTGCATAACCATGTAGTGGGTCGGCTTCCTCAGCTATAAAGGGGACATTTAGATGTACCTTACAGACAGACAGACAGACAGACAGACAGACAGGAGCTTCAACAGCCCTGGGGATAGCGAAGAATGGAGCCTAAACTTACCTTACAAAGTCCTGCCACTCCTGAAGGAAGAGAAGGGATGGGAGGAACAGCCCCAGGGACACCATTGTCTGTGCAGCCTTTCACTCTGGGCTCCTGTGACCCGTGTCAAGCACGCACTGCATGGTACTTCCTGAAGGGTAAAGAGAAGGACACAGCTTGAGGTAGCCCATGGAATAGCTGGGGACCAGTCTTCCTGTAGCTTCTACTGCTGTGCCCCAGGGGACCTTCAAAGATCAATTATTACCTGTTTGGGCTTGAGCTCTGCCAAGCCATCAGAGTAACATTAATGGGGAGGCACGCCATCTACCCTTCCACATCAAGGTGCTTTCTGGGAAAGCCCTGGGGCCACAAGGAAGCAGAGCCGGTAGTCTCTGTGACCCTGTAGTTTCCATGCCGCCCAGCCACCTTCTGCGCATGCCCGGTTCCCATCTTCAGGGCTCTACTTTTGGGTCTTAGGAATGGCCTCCTCCTTGCTACGGGCAGAACCCATGCAGAGTGTGGTTCTTTTAGAATGACATCACAGAGTCTTCCCACCCCATTCCCTCCAGAACTACAAAATATTTTCATTCATCCTTGTATGTATAAACATGACCTACTCTCGTGTCCGTCATTGAAACGAGAAAGGCAAGCACAGAGGACATCTTTCCAGGATTCATGGCCAAACCATGCCTGGCAGACAGCCCACTGCAGCCCCAGCTCCCGAGAGCCCAGTGGAGCCTGGTCTGACGCACATTCACGCATGCCTTTCCTCCCTCTCCGGGTACAGCGACCTGGAAAGGGTGGAGGAAACTCCATTTCCTTTCCTCCTATTTGTCCTTGCCCCTCTATCCTGATCAGAAGGAATGGAGAGAAGCTCCTGGGATTCAGACCTCACTAGGCTGCCGATTGGTGCAAGGTGGCTTTGTTATAAGACGGATGAAATGAAATCCACCCCTGTCCGGCACAAACACTTGCCCCCAGATGTTTATAGCGGCTTTATTCATTAGGGCTTACAGGAGGAAGCAGCCCTACGTGGTTTTCACTGGTCCGGGAATAAGAAGTGGCATGCCTATAGAATGGAAAATTGTTCATCCCTAAGGAGGAATGGCGGTCTGATGGAAGCCACAGCATGAGGGAATGCTCTACAGCAGACTTACACTACGGTGGCCAGATAGTCTACGACCCTTCGCCAGACATGTTTGGGATAGGCAGACCTATACAGAAAGAAAAGTAGAGAAGTGGCTGCCCAGTTGCTGGGATGACTGCCAATTGTTCTCTAGAAGAAAAGGAAATGGTTTTGATATTGACTGTGGTGATAGTTGCATAGCTTTGTAAATACGTTATTTTAAAAAAATTACTGAAGAACGCTTCTGATGGCGGGATTGTATAATGGGAGTTATATCCCGCTAAAGCTGAACATGCACACTAAAGTACCTGCGACATAGTAGGAATGCAACAAACTTCCTCCCACCCTCACCCAGCTTCCGCTCCTTCAGACACCTGATGGAAGCTCAGGTGACCCTGACTCACCACCGCCACGGCCACCCATTGGTTACCTGATCCTGGAGCCCAGAAAGCATTGTTCTGGACATCCATCCTTTCTATGCTTCCTGGGTATAGAAACATCTGCTTTCTTATCTGAGTTCAAGAACAGCCTAGTTTACAGAGTGGGTTCTAGGACAGCCACAACTTCTTAAACTTCTCCCAACCATAAGGAGCAGGGGGAGTCAGGTGCAATGGAGAAAGTGAAGTCCTGGGTCCCCATAAGGCTACACTGGATGGATTATGATCTAAAACTTCAGCTCCAGGGTGCAACTCCCCAACACCTCCAGGGCTGTTAGTTGGGGCTTCTGCACTCATGAGTATTCCAGGAAAGGCTCATGGGACCCTAAACAGCCCATAGTAGGTGGAAAGATGGTCTCAGGCTCTTGGTCTGGTCACACCACATGTAGGCTTCCCACAAGAGTGCTTGCCCGACATTGCTGTGAACATCATCATCTCTGGCTCTTGTCCTTTGTCTCCCTGCTTTGTCATTTAGCACTTCTACTATTTCTAGCATTTAATTCTTTGCTCACAGCTCTTGTATTCTGGAGTCAGCATCATGGAAGCTAGTCTCTCCAAAGGGTCAACACCAACTCAAAGACAATCCCAGAGTCCACAGGACCACTTAAAACCTTTTCTTGAGATTGGAGAGATGGCTCAGCAGTTAAAAGCCTGACTGCTATTCCAGAGGACCGGTTTTGATCTCCAACACCCACGTGGAGGCTCAAAACCAATTGTAATTCTGGTTCCAGGGGATTTATCACCTTCTTCTGGTCTCCAAGAAACACTCATACACATAAAATAATAATTTTTACAAAATTAAAAAAATGAGAACAGATCTGAAGTGCCCCATAGTTCCACCCCTCCCCTGCTGCCCACCCCACCCCACAGGACCCCAGCAGAGAAAAGGACTAGCGAATGGGACCTTGCTGCTCCAGAGGGTGACAGCTGGTAGAAAGATGGCATGGAGTCCAGACTCGGGATCCAGTCAGAGGGTGACAGAAACAGTCCTATAGAGTTTGGTCCCTAGGACAAAAGAAGGGCTGATGTCCCTGCTTGCATCCTGAGGCATGTCCTGCTCGCGAGTCAGCAGTAATTCACTGGACTCCAGTCTGTGTTCAGTAGTCGAACTTTAAAAAGGGAATCCTTCAATAGGGTGCAGCGGCACAGGCCTTTAACCCCAGCACCCAGGAAGCAGAGGCAGGTGGATCTCTGTGAGTTCAAGGACAGCCTGGTCTACATAGTGAATTCTAGGACAGCCACAACTTCATAAAGAGACCCAGTCTCAAAATCAAAACAAACAAAACAAAACAAAAACGAATCCTCACTTGGATTAACACAAATCACAATGACCTGGTTGATGATACCTGGCCAAACCTAGGTTCCCCAGTTACAGGGGTGTGTGATGGTTTGGGGAAGAAACTTAAAGACAGCCTATGGCAATCTGAGCCCTAATTGCCTTGAGAAAAAGTAGCCCAGTCCACCTGCTGAGCAAGTGCAGGCTCCCTTTGGCCTCTGGCCTTGAAACAGGTGACTATGTTCAAGTCTGGCTTGAATTCAAGCTCAGCTGTTCTCTGGGGCATGACCAAGTGCCTGCCTGGAGGTTTCCAGGGCTCATTTCTCCCATCTAACCCATGAGGGAAGGGATGGGAGCACAATTACTAAGCTGTTGTACATCCTCTCTCTCCTGCTCGCCCCTCTCTCCAGCCTGCACCAATGTTTCATGATTCCTCCTTCGGCAGCATCAGACTAAACCCCGACATGTCCCATCTTGTTAAGGCTCCCCTGAGAGGGAAGAAGACCTCTAGGAATTGTGAGCAGATTGAGAGCTGTGTTCAGCTGGAACTAAATTCCTGGGTCTCTGGTTCCTGGAGGTTATGAGGCCCAAGCTGCGATCAGCGTTAAGACTGGGGTAGTGCCCACTGTCTACAAATACTTCTCGAATGAGTAGCAGTCAGTGAAAGCCAGGGGACTGGGAAGCCCTGTGTGCAAGGTCCCTCATGCTGTCACTGCTTCATACCCAACACCCCCTGCGGCCTCAGTGGCCTCTCTAACAGAGCGACCTGGGGAAAGAAGCTCTTCTAGCTGCTAACTGGCTACCCCACAAATATCTAGGACAGTATGAAAAGCATACATTTTGAATTCAGAAAACGCTGAGGAGGCCATGGCAGGGAGGAGAATCAGTTCTCCCAGACACACTGGAGGCACTTTTCAGCATCTTCATTTTCTTCAGCTATGCTTACACGTGACGACTTGCAATGTGGCATGTCATGTGTGGTCCAGGCATTTCACACGAGTTGAGGTCATACTTGAGCATCTGTTTCCATGGCCAAAGACCTGCTCATTTTTGACATTTACAAAATGATTTATCTTATCAAGGGTTTAAAAGTTTTTTTTTTTAAAAAAAAAAAAAAAAAAAAACAAAGACACACCTTTAATGCAAATCTCTGTGAGTTCAAGGCCAGCTGGTCTCCAGAGCAAGTTCCAGGACAGCCAAGGCTACAAAGCCAGTAGTAGGACCCTCTGCAAAAGCTTGAAGAGACCAAAGAACATGGAGGTGGAATAAAGAGATCAAAAAGATCTAAGCAGTTTGGAGATGATGAGGTAGCCATGTTACAGGGACAAGCCAGAGCAATGGGACCGACCAAGCAGAAGGACCAAGGAGGAAAAGGAGGAGCAGAGAAACAAAAATGAAGAGCCCCAGAATGAAACATGGGGACAGCAGTGAAATGAGTCAGAGATACGCCATCACATTTTATTGGCAACTAATTTCTGTTAGTATGGTAAATTCTTCTAGCCAAAGGTAGGGTGTGTTGGGTGAGTGATTCATGAATGAATAAAAATATGGGAAGGAGATATAAATTCCAGAGTGGTTTGAATATGAGAAAAAATTGGATGCCTTAAACTGGCTGGAAAATCTCAAATGTTCCATGAACGTCTCTTGAATCTGGTTTAGCCTCAAAATAGTTTAGGGACAAATCCGAAGAATGACATTTATAGGCCTTCATCTCAGGCATTCTTCATGCTAAAACAATTACAACCGCTCATGACATTGTTAGCTGTTGTTGCCTCTACCATCTCCTAGGTAGACAGGAGCAGGGGTCACCAGAGACCACAAAGGCCAAGTAAATGAATGGCATTCACATTATCAGGAAATCGGAAGCTAGCCTGCCTTGGTCATGATTTCATTGTTGGGTGAAACTCGCTAAAATGCATCCTTCCCCAGGTCCGGCACACCTTAAAGCTGGCAGTACATTCTCGGCAGGTGCCCCTTCCCATGTGACTGAAGTGCTGTGGCAGGACTGGGGTTGAAGACTTGGTGCCTCCTTGGCATGGCGTGACCATGGAAGAGAGGAGCAGGCAGTTGAATGAGTTCCTACGTGGTACCGGAAACTAGACTTTGCAGGAGTTACTCATGCAGACCTCACAGTGATGCCCTGATATACTCAACTCTGTTTTACAAGGGAGGGAACTGAGGCTTAGTGAGTGACTGCCACTGTTTGGGGCACTGGGACTGAACCTAGGCCTTGCACCATGCTAAACCCTACTAAGCTCCAAGCTGTGTGCTGTCCACCCCACTCCCACCCATCCAAGAGAGGTTAAATAGCG